GTCTTTTTTAGACTTAATTTCTGACATCACAAAATGTATAACTTTTAAATCAAGAAAGAATCTTTGGCCTTTTAGAAAATGACATGTTTAAGCTCGTTCAGTGTAACCCAACAAATACCGTGACTTTTCGAAGAAGAGTGTAAAATTATCAATTTTAAAACAAGTAATGTCTAAAATTAATACAAGATTAACGCCAGATTTTTCATTGTGTGGTCTGAAATAGCTGTGTTCCTACCGATATGTTTCTTCAAATATCAACAGATAAAGAAATTAAGCAAAAAGATGAGACGCGTTTGACCATCTACCGTTGCAAGAAAATCTTATTCAGATCGTCGTTTAACGGGAGGCAACTCTTGGTTTACAATAGCTTAATTTGATTCGTGCGCTACCTATCCTGATATCGAGTGAAATGTCGTGTAAATACATGATATCGATCATAAGGACAGGTTTTTGCGGAAGGCACCGGTGGATATGTTGTTTTAATGTAAAACCTTACTCGTATTTATAGAAACTGTTGTTAGCCAAAGCATTCAATCTTGACTGTATCATTCTCGTGTCAATATGTGTAAGCATTTGAAACTTCGGTGCACAATAAAGAACATCAACAAAGACCTTACCTAAATGCTGATTACGAATCAGTAATGTTGTGTTAAACTGAAGTGGGTATTAAACTGAACATAGAAGACAAAAATATTTGTTTACATGCTATTCACCTTGAGAAAATGTACTACTAATATATATTATTTCTCTGCTTTCTTCAGAGAACTTCAGATAGAAAAGTTAAACATGAGAAAATGTCTTACATATTTTTCCAAATGGCTCAGTCTTTTTGACGCAATCACCTTGCCCCCTGCTTAAAAATAGACTATGATAGTAAACGATCCTCATTTCGGATTGTGCGTCAGTTGAACTGTTTGTATTCAATAATCAACTATATAACATGTATTGCGCAAACAGATGCGAGCAAACACGATAAATGTTAATAAATAGGTCTGTTTCATCTGAACAACAAGCTGCTGACCTTGTAGTAGACCATTATATGATAACAGATACAAATTAACAACAACAAATACTGTGGCGGATTCGTGGACGGTCCACTAGTTGCGCAAGCAACACCCTGTATCTGTGCACGTGTCGAATATTAATCTGAGTCTAGATATTTTAAGATTTTCCTCCATTTTATATGTGGTTTTCCGCTTGAGTTGCTCAACCAAGGTTTTCAATGTCTTCATTGTGGGAAGAATATGCACCAACAAAAATGGTTAATTCCAGTTTCTCCCACACCTGACAGATTTATCTCCCGTTTTGCCGGTGCTAGATTTATCTGTCTCCGCCCTAGGGTTGAGACGGGGGGATTCCCCTATTTATAACAATGGTATGACGTCACTGCAACAATACAATGACGTCACGTCAACAATCCATCAACGTCACGTCAACCCTGAATTTAGCATGTAACGTTATCATTACATTGTGTATATGATACACATTGGGGAAAACAGGGTACATGTAAGAGAAAAAGAATCATTCACCCCCTTGTGGGTAAGATAGGGGAATCTCAACCCTCGGGGAAAGATTCTTAAGTTGCCAAACACGAGGCATTGCCGAGTGTTTGGCAACATAAGAATCTTCCCCCTCGGGTTGAGATTCCCCTATCTCACCCCAAAGGGGGTGAATGATTCTATTATTCTCCCACACCTGACAGATTTATCTCCCGTTTTGCCGGTGCTAGATTTATCTGTCTCCGCCCTAGGGTTGAGACGGGGGGATTCCCCTATTCATAACAATGGCATGACGTCACTTCAACAATACAATGACGTCACGTCAACAATCCATCAGCAAATTGCCTGTATGTGTTTTGGGTCCATGTTTACCTTTATTTCACATCAAAATACTGTTAGATATGGGAGAAAAATAATCAATCGCTACTGGTTGTGTAAGATAGAGAAATCTCAACCCTCGGACTAAGATTTTTTTGTCCAGAACGAGGCTTATTTCTCTATCTTACACAACCAGTAGCGATAGATTCTATTAATACATTCACGACTTGCCAATAAAATTTGGAACGCCCTTGAACATTTCTTCAATTATACAAGTTGGGAATGATTTGTATTTTTTTAGGGGTGGGGTGCTCTTTTTTGACTTTGCACCGATCACTTTATCTCAAAACGAATCCTCCAATATAGTTTCTGCTGCAGTTTGTCCCGGTAGACCAGTTTCGTTGATTCAGTGGACTTAAATATGGTAAACAGCTGATCAAGAAGAGCAATCAAGGTAGTTTCGTCTAGTACTTTTGTATTTTCGACAATATTTGGGGAAAGTTCGTTGGCTTCTAAGGCAGTAAGACATAATTAGCCAGCATATTTACTAGTTCTTTATTGGAGGAAGTGGTAATTCAGAAAATTGCATTACATTCGCAATCTAACATGGTTGGAGAGTAAACGTGTATGAGAACAAAGTTGGAAGCATGTGGAATTTCAGGGGAATTATTGCATTGGCTCGAAAAATGTCTACACCAGCGCAAACAGAAAGTTTTAATTGGAAATTCATATTCGGAACTAGGTAATATTGACGCAGGTGTACCTCAAGGTCCAATACTCGGGCCGCTTCTCTTTTCGATATATATTAATGATATTACTGATGTACTTGATTCAGCCTCCAGTTTATTTGCAGATGATACATCCTTACTTTATTCTGCTTTTTTCAACGAGGACCTAGAATCTATTAATCTTTTAATCCTAAAAAACGGACGTTCTTTTTATTTCAAATGCAAACGATATTGACGATGACTTGGATTTAATGTTTGATGGGAAAAAATATGTTTTTTAAAGATAAATGTTTTACGAAAACTCAAATACTTGCTGAAAAGAGATTCACATATAAAAATATATAAATCTTTCATTTTACCCGTTTTCTAATATGCCTGTGAATTATGGGATGGTTGCGCTGCTTTTGAATCTGAGAAATTAGAGAAAGCACAAAGAGAGGCGGCTCAAAATATAACAGGACTGCCTTCGTATACAAGTAATGTTTCATGAAACACTATCAGAGAGGAGAAAATGGCGAAAGTTGAATTTTTTATATAAAATGAAAAACAATTTAATTCCAAGCTATTTAACGGCCCTTTTGCCAAACACAGTAGGCTTCAACAATCGGTACAATTTTACGGAACTAATATGATTACAATATTCCTTTTTTTCTGACTTTCCTCAAGCAACTCTTTTTTTGTTTTTGCCATCGTGTTTCCGTCTTTGGAATTCGTTAGACAATACAATAAGAACATTACCGTCTTTAAATACTTTCAAATCTTCTATATCTAGTGTTGCAATTTTGGCGAACGCAAATTAAATATATTGCATACAAAACTCTGGCGTCAGTACAGCTCTTTGAAAAATGATTTGTTCCGTGTTCAGATTGTTGATAATCCAGTTTTGGACATTCCTGTTGGCCATTTTTTTCTTATAATGTAAGCTTTTTAATGCAGCACGAGCTACTCTATTTCAAAAGATAAGCTCCGTAGATACCAATGCAGAAGTATTCAGACACGTGCAACTTTTCATCAAATCCAGCAACAGGTTTTAAGTAAAATATGATAATTGTAAAATATGTTATGTATGCCTTGTTAAATGCTATCATGTAAATATCAATATGTACTGTATTAGAGGAAAGGGCGTTGATAAGTTGATACAACTTGTGCCTAATCCTCTGCTCGAATTTGGTTGAGGCAATTCAATAAATATATGTATTAATCAAAATTTTAAAAGAAATGTTCAGTTGACGTATCAATGTTTATGCTATTCGGCGAATGGCAAATCTTACAGGAAGGAAATATTTTTGTTATGCACTTACTTAACAATGTATATATGCTGGATAATATTTCTGTTTCTTGTCAATGAATCGTTGGCATTATTATTATTTTTTTAAGTTATGATGGGTTCATTCTGTGTATCCTTTTTGGATCTGCGAAAGCTTATTCTTAATATCATGTCTGGTTTTAAGAGGTTTCCTGGCAGTTACTTTATTCAAATCGGATATCCTTGTAAGTTTGGTACACCAGTTACCGAAGGAGCGTATATATCAATTGTTATATTGTCCACAACCAGACCCTATATACTTATATATTGTTCTAAATAACTCAATATTTAGCAATGTAATGAATGCCAGGATACAAAAGCAATATCTTATATGTCATACGAGGTTAATGGTCATGAGGCAGTCTAGTCAAATCAATAATGGATAATAAATATGAATATTGATTAATAATAAAATTATAATAGCATTTATTTATATTTGCTTAATTACACATTAATAACAATAGCATAATACATCTCCAGCACACACACAGGCATACACACATAGGGAGATATTAGCCAGGTGACATAGGACTAGTAACACGGAAATCTAAGTCCGTGCTAGTAGTAAGCGCCTGATAAGGCAGCTCCAGCGAATTCCTCAATATTTTATTGGTTAATATATGTGCTAATTGTATTGACTGTATAAAATTGTATATCTATGTACTGTAAAGCGCTTTAGAGTGGCTTATGTTAGCTAGATATATAGGGCGCTATAAGTATATATCAAATATTGTATATTTATTTATTTATTTATGTCAAAAGACTCGTAAATGTGTACGGTCAAATGTTGTGGTTCAAGTTCTCTACCAGAATCTGTGATATCCGCCCCAAACACACACTCACATAGTGTTTCTAAAATAGACTAGACAGGCAAGTTTTGGGAAAACCAAAACCTGATTTATAATTACAGTGTCGAACTTTTAATCGCGATTTAATTCATATATGTTCTAAAGGGATAACTCGTAATTTTGTGTAAAAATGATGAATAATGTTATGTTTATGTGTTGTGATGGGCAAAACATATTTAATGATAACATTTCAAAATTGACGCCATCAATGACAAGCAATTTCCTTAACGGCTAACGACAGAAAATCACAGCAAGTGCTGTCGTGTTACTGTATTTACCTCCCTTATTTTAAAACGTCACCGCTAGGTGTCGTGCATTGTTTACATCGAGGCGGCCATATTCAAGAAAACGAAAACATCCGGCTATCTCTTTCAGATGCAGAAAGGTAATTATCGACTGGTTAATGACTAATGATCATATTCCTCTCCTGAACACATTATATTGGCAGCCAGTTGCTTACGCTATTGCATCCATGTTACAATCATCGAACGCCCGTGTGTTTTACGGAACACCGCTGAGTGAAAAACATGTGCAGACACATCTGACAGCGACATGTCGGCCCAAGTTGTTCGCTATTGACACATGTTTTATTTTGCTGTTGTATTATATTGAGGTACGTGCACATTGACGTGGACCTTATGTTAATAATCTAACAATTGTTAGTGAACGGATGACAGGTTTAAATTAGCTGATTATTGATCAGAAGTACGGTGAAACCAGTCACACTGGAGATTCCGGCGAGTATACCTACTGTTCAGCAGGTCCTGTTCAGTACCCCAACTGGGGTGTTACAATATTCTAGTAAAAATGCCAATATATACAGATACGTTAATCTAGCTCTGCAACATTTCTTGTCCGAGAAATCACTGCTTGTGATCATGCACGTCTTGTACTTGTTAATATATACATGGGATAAGTTAACAAAGCAGTATTAATGTACTGTAACCCTAACAGTAAATGCAAAATAACTACGTATGCGTATAGAACAATAACACACCTTATAATAATCTAGCTGAGCGCTCCTACTGGGCTACTAATCGCTCAGAACATGTATATACACACGCAGCTGATCGCTCGCTGACCTTTCAATGCCCAAACAATACATACACAGATCATGACCACACGATCTGTACTGGCTAATGATCAGTATGGCAGATGTCTCACTACAATGATAGCCTGGCAGCACTACATGTACCGATATTGTACAATCTACAGAACTCCTCTTGCTAACCTTGAGTTATCGTGACCACTTTGGGTCCCTATTACTCCCTATATCAATCTAACAAGCTCTCAACGTGATGATTTATCAATGTAGCGGACCAGAACAACACAATAGCTTGCCCTTGTAAAATATAATACTTTCGATTAAGCAATCGTAATTAGGCTAACAGTCTTATTCAGACATACCCCATCATTGAAAGCTCAATGTCTAGTATTCTTACAACTAATATAACAAGTAATATTATATGGTCTGCTCTCGTGTAGCCTACGACACAGAATGGCAAACTAAGTAATATTGACGCAGGTGTACCTCAAGGCTCAATACTCTGGCCGCTTCTCTTTTTGATGTACTTGATTCGGCCTCCAGGTTATTTGCAGATGATACATCCACAGAACTAGCTAGTTGAATATGAATAATTTGGGCACTGGAAGTCGATCGCGATGTCCTGTCTTCAGCAGGACTTGTCGTCATCCATACAAATACAATAGATGTACTTAAAAGTCTGTATCATACTAGTACTACATAAATTGTATTGTTAAAAATAATATGGTAAGCATTTAGATAAGAAACATAACAATTTGTTATGTTTCTTATCTAAATGCTTACCATATTATTTTTAATTGAACTTCATCCCCATTTTATTACATATTATATGTATAATCACAGGCTTAGAAAATCTAAATCTTTAATATAATTATATAAAATTATATCATTTCAGAACAAAATGATGCAATCAAGAGTGACAGATTATTTTGTCAAGTGAAAATTTGATTGTTGCATTTGAATATATATATACAAATAACATGGCGTCCAAGTCTCGAAGATTAAACGAAGAAGACCGCCGTAAGTATTTGATGATATGTATATATACAATAATAGAAATTTACATAGAGCCATGCATTACTGTGTACATGACTCAATTGCAATTGTAAACACCTAGTTGTGCTGTATCATTTCTGTGGCATTTATACCATATAATATATAATTATGTCATTCCAACTTATTATTTATATTTAAAAGACAGACAAATTGTTGAGTGTCATGATGTTATATACCTAGGAATAACATTTGTGGAAGCTTAAGTCTTAACAAAATTCTTGTTTCAAATTTTAGAATTTTACATTGTTGACTAAAGTTGGGATTTTCCTAAATCCATGCAACACATTAATGGAGAAAAATTATATTACCATAAACCTATGCTACAGATGTGATTTCCATATAAATGTTTTAAAATGGAACTATTTTTTATTTCAGGCATTGTGTCTCAGACAAACACACTCTTAGAACAACTGAACCTCTTTACCCCGATCAGTTGTGTAGAAGACCTCAATGTTTTAACTTATGTGTCCTTGTTTGAAGGACTTTGTGGGGAGCATCTTGCAGGTAATTCTATACTTGTATCTTTACATATTCACGCATGTGTCATCATCATTTTAAATTCCTTTTTTGGGTAACTTATATACTTTTAAGGAATTCTACAGAGATGAGATAACCTGTAGCTTATCACTGATGAATTGACATAAATAAAAGTCATTGAATTTATTCTTGTTTCTTTAAATGATATCATCACATTGATTTCTATTTATATCAACTGTTTTGTTGATTAATTGATGCTGAACTTGTTACTTTTCTCCCTCGCTCAGGCATTGTGCGGAACCCTTTAACGAAGGAAGATGAGATACAGAACTGTCAGATTGTGATTGACACTCTAGCCAGTGATGTCCTCCACACGTCCCTTACACATATCTCTGGCCGACAGGTAGTCGAGCACGACCGCGAGTCTATCCTCCATTTCCTGGAGATCTTCAGCGGCCTTCTAGAGTACATACTCAACAAAATTGAGAGTGATGCATCCACAGACAATGACGGTATGTTGACTGATGACTGCAGTGTGTAACGGTCAAATACATCTAAAGACAATGACGGTATGTTGACTGATGACATCAGTGTGTAACGGTCAAACACATCCACAGACAATGACAGTATGTTGACTGATGACTGCAGTGTATAACGGTCAAATACATCCACAGACAATGACAGTATGTTGACTGATGACTGCAGTGTGTAGCGGTCAAATACATCCACAGACAATGACGGTATGTTGACTGATGTCTGCAGTGTATAACGGTCAAATACATCCACAGAGAATGACGGTATGTTGACTGATGACATCAGTGTATAATTGTCAAATACATCCACAGACAATGACGGTATGTTGACTGATTTCTTCAGTGTATAACGGTCAAATACATCCACAGACAATGACAGTATGTTGACTGATGACTGCAGTATGTAGCGGTCAAATACATCCACAGACAATGACGGTATGGTGACTGATGACTGCAGTGTATAACGGTCAAATACATCCACAGTCAATGACGGTATGTTGACTGGTGACTGCAGTGTATAACGGTCAAATACATCCACAGATAATGACGGTATGTTGACTGATGACTGCAGTGTATAACTGTCAAATACATCCACAGACAATGACGGTATGGTGACTGATGACTGCAGTGTATAACGGTCAAACACATCCACAGACAATGACGCTATGTTGACTGATGACTGCAGTGTATAACGGCCAAATACATCCACAGACAATGACGGTATGTTGACTTATGACTGCAGTGTATAACGGTCAAATACATCCACAGTCAATGACGGTATGTTGACTGGTGACTGCAGTGTATAACGGTCAAATACATCCACAGAGAATGACGGTATGTTGACTGATGACATCAGTGTGTAACGGTCAAACACATCCACAGACAATGACGCTATGTTGACTGATGACTGCAGTGTATAACGGTCAAATACATCCACAGTCAATGACGGTATGTTGACTGGTGACTGCAGTGTATAACGGTCAAATACATCCACAGTCAATGACGGTATGTTGACTGGTGACTGCAGTGTATAACGGTCAAATACATCCACAGATAATGACGGTATGTTGACTGATGACTGCAGTGAGTAACGGTCAAACACATCCACAGACAATGACGGTATGTTGACTGGTGACTGCAGTGTATAACGGTCAAATACATCCACAGTCAATGACGGTATGTTGACTGGTGACTGCAGTGTATAACGGTCAAATACATCCACAGACAATGACAGTGTGTTGACTGATGACTGCAGTGTGTAGCGGTCAAATACATCCACACACAATGACGGTATGTTGACTGATGACTGCAGCGTATAACGGTCAAACACATCCACAGACAATGACGCTATGTTGACTGATGACTGCAGTGTATAACGGTCAAACACATCCACAGACAATGACGGAATGTTGACTGATGACTGCAGTGTGTAACGGTCTAATACATCTAAAGACAATGACGGTATGTTGACTGATGACATCAGTGTGTAACGGTCAAACACATCCACAGACAATGACGGCATGTTGACTGATGACTGCAGTGTGTAACGGTCAAATACATCCACAGACAGTCATGGTACCTGTGTATACTGTACTATGATCATGACCGATGTGTGTGATGACTGTGTGTAGCGGTCAAATACATCCACAGACAGTCATGTTACCTGTGTATACTGTACTATGGTCATGACCGATGTGTGTGATGACTGTGTGTAACGGTCAAATACATCCACAGACAGTCATGTTACCTGTGTATATTGTACTTTGATCATGACCGATTTGTGTATTAAGTTCATACTTATGTAGTATGATCATGACCGATGTGTGTATTAAGTTCATACTTATGTAGTATGATCATGGCCGATGTGTGTAATAAGTTAATACTTATGTAGTACGATCATGACCGATGTGTGTGATAAGTTCACGCTTATGTAGTACGATCATGACCAATAAGTGTGATAAGTTCATACTTATATAGTATGATCATGACCAATAAGTGTGATAAGTTCATACTTATGTAGTATGATGATGACCAATAAGTGTGATAAGTTCATACTTATATAGTATGATCATGACCAATAAGTGTGATAAGTTCATACTTATATAGTATGATCATGACCAATAAGTGTGATAAGTTCATACTTATGTAGTATGATGATGACCAATAAGTGTGATAAGTTCATACTTATATAGTATGATCATGACCAATAAGTGTGATAAGTTCATACTTATGTAGTATGATCGTGACCAATAAGTGTGATAAGTTCATACTTATGTAGTATGATCGTGACCAATAAGTGTGATAAGTTCATACTTATGTAGTATGATGATGACCAATAAGTGTGATAAGTTCATACTTATGTAGTATGATCGTGACCAATAAGTGTGATAAGTTCATACTTATATAGTATGATCATGACCAATAAGTGTGATAAGTTCATACTTATGTAGTATGATGATGACCAATAAGTGTGATAAGTTCATACTTATATAGTATGATCATGACCAATAAGTGTGATAAGTTCATACTTATGTAGTATGATGATGACCAATAAGTGTGATAAGTTCATACTTATATAGTATGATCATGACCAATAAGTGTGATAAGTTCATACTTATATAGTATGATCATGACCAATAAGTGTGATAAGTTCATACTTATGTAGTATGATGATGACCAATAAGTGTGATAAGTTCATACTTATGTAGTATGATGATGACCAATAAGTGTGATAAGTTCATACTTATATAGTATGATCATGACCAATAAGTGTGATAAGTTCATACTTATGTAGTATGATCACGACCAATAAGTGTGATAAGTTCATACTTATGTAGTATGATCACGACCAATAAGTGTGATAAGTTCATACTTATGTAGTATGATGATGACCAATAAGTGTGATAAGTTCATACTTATGTAGTATGATCGTGACCAATAAGTGTGATAAGTTCATACTTATATAGTATGATCATGACCAATAAGTGTGATAAGTTCATACTTATATAGTATGATCATGACCAATAAGTGTGATAAGTTCATACTTATGTAGTATGATGATGACCAATAAGTGTGATAAGTTCATACTTATGTAGTATGATCGTGACCAATAAGTGTGATAAGTTCATACTTATGTAGTATGATGATGACCAATAAGTGTGATAAGTTCATACTTATGTAGTATGATGATGACCAATAAGTGTGATAAGTTCATACTTATGTAGTATGATGATGACCAATAAGTGTGATAAGTTCATACTTATGTAGTATGATGATGACCAATAAGTGTGATAAGTTCATACTTATGTAGTATGATCGTGACCAATAAGTGTGATAAGTTCATACTTATGTAGTATGATGATGACCAATAAGTGTGATAAGTTCATACTTATATAGTATGATCATGACCAATAAGTGTGATAAGTTCATACTTATGTAGTAAGCATAAAAATAAAGTAGAGCCTGTAATAGCATTGTGTCCTGACAACAACAAAAATTCATGATTACCAATTGTTCACAAACAATGTACTAATTTGCAATATTTTGCTGCAGGTGAAGAAGATGTGGATGACCCAGATGCTGTAGAGCGAGATGTGATTGATGAGATACTGGAACGTGAATTAAAGCGAGGTGTACAAGACCCCCTGTCTCCTGAGGGGAGAAGGAGGACAGACCTGTCTTCAGTATATTGGGATGACAGGTGAGTCACAGTGAGGTCTGCAAAATCCTCTGCCTATTGACTGGAGGAGGAAGACAGAGTGGTCTAGTGACACAGTGAGTAGGAATCGTTCCTGTCACCAAGACGACCAGGGTTGATTCCCTGATCAGATGTGAATGGGTATTTGGTCACCTACAGCTGCCCATCACATGGTTTTCTCTGGGTACTCTAGTTACCTCCCACAATAATACCACTGTGCACTTGCATCCCAGCCAGCAAGAGTGATTAATATTAGTTATAAAACTTGTTTCAAAACTGTTGTAAAATACACTCCTCCCGGTATTCAGTTTACATTAAATAAAACTGTTACAAATATATAATTTTATAGAAAGTTCTGCCTAATAATCAACCGTCTTCATCATCACCTTTTTGTAACAATGAGTCTTCCATAATTATAGATTTGTTTACTGCATCTGATGTTGTTATTGGCCTACATACTTTCCTGAAATAGTTGGAAGATGTCAAAAGAAATCAAATGCCACATGTGGTGCAGGAATGTTAACCCTTCTAGAGCCCTTTTAATAATACTTGACTGAGTTTGTTTCTAATTGAACATGCCATTCGTTATATATATATGACATCTTTTACAAACTGTGTTTAAATGTGTGTCTCTATTAGTCATTTCCTTTTTGCAGGCCTGTGGCAGCAAGTCGTCCCAAAGATTCACCACAAGGAAGAAACCTTAAGCAGAGTCAGGGGAGTTCTCCTGGTATACAGGACTCCACAGCTGTCTCCTTTAGGCGTAAGTCTATAGCTATAGGACAGTTAGCTTTGATCACACAATTCAGCCCTGACCAGTGAACCACATGATAGTCATATCTGGAAGGTATAGTACAGATACACTGTACAGTCAGCTGTGGCAGTTACAAGTTAAAGAACATTCCTGTGTGTGATGACCCTCATTGTGTCTTAATGTTGATACTAATGCCAAATAGATTTTGCTATTATTTAAGTGCTATTAGGTTCATGTTAATTGTTCTGTAAACCTGCAAATTTGATTCTAAAAAATATTCCTCTTGATCACGTCCAGAATCTGTATGTGCTGTACTGAGATCAGACATACGTTAATTATAATGAGATAAGTCAAACATTCAACATAGATGAGGCATACTCTTTATTGAAATGAGTCACACGTCCTAATGAAGTGAACCACATGTCAGTCTGCTTTGATACTTTACAGTTGACAGTACTGAAGATTTGATACGTCGAGGTGAGGCCCTAATTCGGCGCACACATCCAGGCGAGGAATCACATTCAGTTGTAAGTAAAGAGGTATTTGGGAGTGAGTTCAATGAAAATATTGGAAAGCAAGAATAGATTATCTTACACCAGAGTGATGACTAGGTTAAAAGGTGTTAATGTTTTGGAGGTTCTCAGAAATGTACTGCCTTCCTTTCACTCCATGCATCATGGCCTTGTCTGGTTGATAACTTCAGATTTTTTCAAAATTTTGTTGTGAGATTTACCATAACTGCATATCATGACGGGAAGGGATGTTTCAAAAAACTTTTCGACCCCTACTGCAAGGGTAAAGAGAATGGGGAACGGTCAATGGTCAAGTAATTCTTGTATGGACTGTAACCCCAGATTGTCTGAAGGTTTGACTGAATGAAGGACTCATTTGTTCAATAACTAGATTTTAAATGTGTTGTAATTAAGGGTAAATGATTTGTAGGAGGAGAGCTACCTGAAAACCAGACCTACACTACATGCCCTTATGTCCAATAAACCAGATAGGCTGCAGTCAAGAGAAACGGGTAAGTGTGACATGAGTGTTATCTACTGTATAGCACAAATCAGTGCTAGATACGTTCTTTTGCACTGTTATCTTTATAAACTATATCACTGATACAAGATTTAATGGTCTGAGGTACATTTGTACTTTAAATTGTTTCATTATTTGCTGTATTATATTTGTGAGTTCATTGCTCCCCCAAAAGTAAATACACAGAAATCTTGTGTTACCTAGTATGTGGTATAAAAATCTAAACAAAGCGTAACCGTGGAAATTATCTGTAATAGTTGATTCCGAGACATTTATTCATCATCCATAACTTTCCAGACAGACATCTAATATAATTAAGATATAAATAAACAATATACAAAGCTTGACGCAAAACTACATACTACAACTGTTCCTACTACCTCTCCAGAGGACAAGCTCAAGTCTGATCCCACTTATGCCGCACGATCAACAGACAAGCTGCTAGACCATTACAGTGACTTATACAACACCAAATACAACGTCAACAGGGACCAACTAGGTCAGAGGTAAGTACAATGTCATCAGGGACCATCTAGGTCAGAGGTATGAACAACGTCAACAGGGACCATCTAGGTCAAAGGTAAGTACAATGTCAACAGGGACAAACTAGGTCAGAGGGAAGAACAATGTCAACAGGAACCAACTAGGTCAGAGGTAAGAACAATGTCAACAGTGACCATCTAGGTCAGAGGTAAGTAAAATATCAACAGGGACCATCTAGGTCAGATGTAAGTACAATGTCAACAGGGACCTTCTAGGTCAGAGGTAAGTACAATGACAACAGGGACCAGTAAGTACAATGTCAACAGGGACAATCTAGGTCAGAGGTAAGAACAATGGCAACAGGAACCAACTAGGTCAGAGGTAAGTCCAATGTCAACAGGGACCAACTAGGACAGAGGTAAGAACAATGTCAACAGTGACCATCTAAGTCAGAAGTAAGTACAATGTCAACAGGGGCCATCTAGGTCAGAGGTAAGTACGATGTCAACAGGGACCATCTAGGTAAGAGGTAAGCACAATGTCAACAGGGACCATCTAGTTCAGAGGTAAGTACAATGTCAACAAGGACCAACTAGGTCAGAGGTAAGAACAATGTCAACAGGTACCTCTCCAGAGGACAAGCTCAAGTCTGATCCCACTTATGCCGCACGATCAACAGACAAGCTGCTAGACCATTACAGTGACTTACACAACACCAAATACAACGTCAACAGGGACCAACTAGGTCAGGGGTAAGAACAATGTCAACAGGGAACAACTAGTTCAGAGGTAAGAACAATGTCAACAGGGGCCATCTAGGTCAGAGGTAAGTACAAGGTCAACAGGGACCATCTAGGTCACAGGTAAGTACAATGTCAACAGGGGCCATCTAGGTCAGAGGTAAGTACGATGTCAACAGGGACCAACTAGGTCGGAGGTAAGAACAATGTCAACAGGTACCTCTCCAGAGGACAAGCTCAAGTCTGATCCCACTTATGCCGCACGGTCAACAGACAAGCTGCTAGACCATTACAGTGACTTATACAACACCAAATACAACGACAACAGGGACCAACTAGGTCAGATGTAAGTACAATGTCAACAGGGACAAACTAGGTCAGAGGTAAGAACAATGTCAACAGGATCCAACTAGGTCAGAGGTAAGTACACTGTCAACAGGGACCATCTAGGTCGGAGGTAAGAACAATGTCAACAGGTACCTCTCCAGAGGACAAGCTCAAGTCTGATCCCACTTATGACGCACGATCAACAGACAAGCTGCTAGACCATTACAATGACTTATACAACACCAAATACAACGTCAACAGCGACCAACTAGGTCAGAGGTAAGTATAATGTCAACAGGGACCAACTAGGCCAGAGGTAAGAACAATGTCAACAGGTACCTCTCCAGAGGACAAGCTCAAGTCTGATCCCACTTATGACGCACGATCAACAGACAAGCTGCTAGACCATTACAGTGACTTACACAACACCAAATACAACGTCAACAGGTACCAACTAGGTCAGAGGTAAGTACACTGTCAACAGGGACCATCTAGGTCAAAGGTAAGTACAATGTCAACAGGGACCTTCTAGGTCAGAGGTAAGGACAATATCAACAGGGACCATCTCGGTCAGATGTACAACATCAACAGGGACCAGTATGGCTACAGGTAAGTACAACATCAACAGGGACCATCTAGGTCAGATGTAAGTACAATGTCAACAGGGACAAACTAGGTCAGAGGTAAGAACAATGCCAACAGGGACCATCTAGGTCAGAGGGAAGTACAATGTCAACAGGGACCAACGAGGTCAGAGGTAAGAACAATGTCAACAGGACCCAACTAGGTCAGAGGTAAGTACGATGTCAACAGGGACCAACTAGGTCAGGGGTAAGAACAATGTCAACAGGGGCCATCTAGGTCAGACGTAAGACAAATGTCAACAGGGACCATCTAGGACAGAGGTAAGTACAATGTCAACAAGGATCATCTAGGTTAGAGGTAAGTACAATGTCAACAGGGGCCATCTAGGTCAGAGGTAAGTACAGTGTCAACAAGGATCATCTAGGTTAGAGGTAAGTACAATGTCAACAGGTACCAACTAGGTCAGAGGTAAGTAGAATGTCAACAGGGACCATCTAGGTCAAAGGTAAGTACAATGTCAACAGGAACCATCTAGGTCAGAGGTAAGAACAATGCCAACAGGGACCATCTAGGACAGAGGTAAGTACAATGACAACAGGGACCAACTAGGTCAGAAGTAAGAACAATGTCAACAGGGACCAACTCCGCCCAGAGGTAAGTACAATGTCAACAAGGACCAACTAGGTCAGAGGTAAGAATAATGTCAACAGGGACCATCTAGGGCAGAGGGAAGAACAATGTCAACAGGAACCATCTAGGTCAGAGGTAAGTAAAATATCAACAGGGACCATCTAGGTCAGATGTAAGTACAATGTCAACAGGGACAAACTAGGTCAGAGGGAAGAACAATGTCAACAGGAACCAGCTAGGTCAGAGGTAAGTACAATGACAACAGGGACCAACTAGGTCAGAGATAAGTACAATGTCAACAGGGACCGACTAGGTCAGAGGTAAGTACAATGCCAACAGGGACCAACTAGGTCAGATGTAAGTACAATGTCAACAGGGACCCTCTAGGTCCGAGGTAAGTACAATGTCAACAGGTACCAACTAGGTCAGAGGTAAGTATAATGTCAACAGGGACCAACTAGGACAGAGGTAAGTACAATGACAACAGGGACCAGTAAGTACAATGTCAACAGGGACCACCTAGGTCAGAGGTAAGTACAATGCCAACAGGGACCATCTAGGACAGAGGTAAGTACAATGACAACAGGGACCAGTAAGTACAATGTCAACAGGGACCATCTAGGTCAGAGGTAAGAACAATGTCAACAGGAACCAACTAGGTCAGAGGTAAGTACAATGACAACAGGGACCAACTAGGTCAGAGGTAAGTACAATGTCAACAGGGACCAACTAGGTCAGAGGTAAGTACAATGTCAACAGGGACCA